TTATCCTAAGTTTCATGTTTATCAATCTATTGCTTATACACCTATATACACAATGTTAGTACAAATGTGTGTGCGCTTAAAATATATGTATGAGCTAAATGTAAAGAGGTTTAAAAAAAAAAAAAAAGCAGACATTTGCCTCCAGGATCTGAGAAACACACAGCTATTGCCTAGATCACATGCTTTGCCCAAGCACACTATCCTTGAATTCTGGGGGCTGGGTGGGGTGGGATGGGAGGTGGGGAAATTAAGGCTTTTGTCTACCCATGTACAGTTTTGGAAATGGAAATGAAGAGATCATCGCAAATAGTTTTCACAGAATACCAAAAGCAGAGAAAAAAAGGGAGAAAAGGAATATAGAAGCCCTTTGAAAGTGCTTTCTCTGGCAATGGAAAATCAGTGAATTTGCCAACAGGGCAAGTTTGGGGCTTAACACCAGATTCTCCTTATTGCTATGCTTACTATAAAATGGTTAACAGAAAACTCCTAAAAATAAAATGTTTCCTGATTTCAGTCTCTGAACTGAAGACATTTCCATGTTTTCTTCTCCTTTCAAGATTTGTTTTCATTGTGGAAGATCTAAGACACTTTCTTAATAGAAAAAAAAAAATTGCATGACTGTGAACTTTGAAAGAAAGAACGAAACAAAAAAGAAACAAAGAAAGAAAAAAAGTTCCATAACTAGAAGGAGTTTATGTTTCGCTGCCTTTTGTATTTATGGATAAGAAGATTTAATATTATAAAAATGTAAACTCTTCTCATTTGAGCTGTAAATTCAATGAAATTCCAAAGTCCCAGCAGATTTTGTTTAGATATTTAACAACCTGATTCTGAAATGTCTGTGGCTGAGCAAAGGCCCAAGATTAGCAAAACCATTCCTGAAGAGTAAGATAGGAGGGGTTGCTCTACCAGATTTCAAGACATATATCAAACAATGGTAATTAAAACAGTGTGGCAGTGATACAGGACAGCAAAGAGGGATGGAATTGAAAGCCCCAAAACAAACCCATGAGTATATGGAAGTTTGATATATAACACAGAGGACATTGCACATCATGAACGAAAGAAGACACAATTTAATAAATGATGCTGATATAACTGACTACCCACATGGAAAAATATGAAATTAGATACCTACCTAACACACCATACCCATAGATCAATTCCAGATTGACTAAATATTTAATGATTAAGAAAAAAACCTTCAAAAGTTATAAAAGAAAATATAAAATATCTATGAACCAGACATGAGGAAGGACTTCTTAACACACAAAAAGAACTAGATTTTTGTGCAAAAATTAAGTCAGAAAATAACAGGTGTTGGCAAGGATATGGGTCAAGGGGAACTCCTACAGACACTGCTGGATGAAGTGTAAGTTGGAATAATTGAAGTCGTTTTGTAAAGCAGTTTGGCAATTAACCTGTAAAGTTGAATATTTGTGTACTTGTGTATGACACAGCAATTCCATTCTTAGGTCTATACTCTAGAACAATGCTTCTCTCACTTTAATAAATGTCAGAATCACCTGCAGAGCCCCACAGTTTGGGGGCCCCACCCCTGGACACTCTGATTCAGTAGGTCTGGGATAGAGCCTGTGAATGTGTATTTCTGAGAAGCACCTGGGTGCTGGGGCTGCTGCTGGTTTCCAATCACGATTGGAGCAATACTGCTCCAGATTTCTTCTCTTATGTCTTGGGAAACAGGAATAAGAATATTCAAAGCCACGATGTTCATAACAGCAAAAATCTGGACACAACCCAAATATCCATCAGCAGAAGAATGGATAAATACACTGTAGTAGGTTCACATAGTAAGGTATCATACAATATTGAAAATGAACAAATATTGAAAATGAACATATAACAACCTGGATAAATCTTAGAAGCATAATGTTAAGTGAAAAAGTATGTCACACAAAATTATATACAGCATGATACCACTTTTATAAAGCTAATAAATTAAATAATATATTGCTTTGGAGCAATTATATGGATAAAATTAAAATATGAAGCAAGAGAATGAAAAACACAAAAATGGAAAAGGGAAGAATCACATAACTAGATGCCATCATGTGGGTATTATGGTAGTTTTTCAGGTGGGTGGTGGGTTCTCATATGCTTCCGAACTCTCATGTAAGTTTTATGTACATGAAAAATTGTTGGAAACGATTTGATGAATTGATGGAAAACATACACATAGCACACATCACATGGGAAAAATTTTTTAAATGAGTGCCAGTCAGGTAAGCTAAATGAGACAAGATTACAAGGAAAGTAAAATTGTAATAACAATTAAAATACTCATTGCACTTAGCAGATGACAGAAATGATCCTGGGGAAAATGTAGAAGACAAACCTGAGATGTCCTCTTGCAGAGTGAAAGCAAAAATGAAAAACAGTGAGAAAGGAGATGATAGAAGTGCAGGACTGAGGATGGAAGGCTAACAGATTCCTAAACCAAAGATTGGAACAAACAGAGAAAAAGAATTCAAAGCTATACTTAAAAGAAAATTCTTACAGGTTAAAAAAAAAAAGGCCTTAGTCTTCCTGAACAAAAGTACTCCCCAAATATCAGCAAATTAATGCGGAAATCCATATTGACATATTCCTGGTAAAAGTTCAGATATCAAGAATAAAACATGACTTCTATAAGCATCCTGGCAGAATATAAAAGAAAGAAAATAAACTGGCTAGATAAACATAGAATAAAATTCACACTAGCCTCAAATTTCTCTGTAACAACAAATGCTACAAAAAATGATTTCAAAGTTTATTTGGAAAAATAAGTGGATATGACTAATTTAAAAAAGTTTGAATGAAGAAAGAAAAATTATGAATGAAATGAACTTGAAACTCTAGATACTGAAATGTAAACTATAATAATGAAAATGATGTAAAATGGATAATATATTATATTACAAATTATAATGCATATATTATATATTTATATATTTTTACATATATATAAAAGTTGGTATGTGAGAAAGATGGGTTTAGGAATAGGTTATCAACTTTATTAAAAAAAATTTTTTTTTCAACGTTTATTTATTTTTGGGACAGAGAGAGACAGAGCATGAACAGGGGAGGGGCAGAGAGAGAGGGAGACACAGAATCGGAAACAGGCTCCAGGCTCCGAGCCATCAGCCCAGAGCCCGACACGGGGCTCGAACTCACGGACCGCGAGATCGTGACCTGGCTGAAGTCGGACGCTTAACCGACTGCGCCACCCAGGCGCCCCTGTTATCAACTTTATGATGCTACAACTAGTTGTAGACTAATTTAGAAAATAATTAGTACCATACAGCAAAATATTTTTCAATGAATTAAGAGGTTAAATTTTTAAATAATTATAAAAAGAACTAGAAGAAATATCAGTGAAGATTGATCTGATCCTTGTGTGAGGAAGGGCTTTCTAAAAATAAAGGAAGTGAAAGAAATCAAAAGATTGATATATTTTCCTATAATTTTTTTTTTAATTGGCCATGTCAAAAAAAATCATAAAAAGTGATAAAAAGTAAACTATAAATTTGGGTGGAATATTCGTTCCATATACATTCCAAAGATTCTTACTAATAATATTAAAAGATATATTATAAATCAATGTGAAAAAAGTGGATATCCCATTGGAAATTGGGTGACTATCACTTCATGAAGTTTACTTCAAATCAAAAATACAGAAATTATAGTCAAATAGGAGCAGATTGAACCGCGATTTTTTTCATTTATATGATTGACAATGATAAAATACTTGGCATTTTAAATATTAAGATGCCATAATTAACAGCCATTCTGAGGACACTTAGTATGAATTAAGGTAGATGGTTGGACAAGGCTTAGAGCTCACTGAGGGCAGATTTAGAGCTATTCTGGTGGCAAAGGGGCTTTGAGACTTTATCCTTATTTATGCACTTCAACAGACATTTTTAGGCAGCTGACATTATAGATGACCACACTAGAGGGGGAAAAAAAGAGAAGATCATTAAAAGGTTTCTGCCTGGAAAGATGAAGGCTGAGAAAAGACGCATGATGTCTTTAAGGCCTTGAGTAGCGTGACTGCACTGAATGGCATGATTATGGAATTCCAGAACTGGGAGGGGGAGAGAGGGGCGAGGAAGCCCCTGAACAAATTAGGAACCCCTTTTTTACATGACGAGTTATGAACACTGAAGTCATTGCCCCATAATTGGATATGAGAGCAAATACAAAACAAGTACAAAATACAAAATATATCTTGTATCAAGAGTAAAAACAAAATATGATAATAGCAAATGCCATAGAAATTAAGGCAGCAGTGAATAGGCATTTGTAAGTTCAAATATATGTGTGGGCCACAGATTGAGTATTTATTAATCAGTTACAAATGGATGCTGGAATGGTTAAAAGCATCACATTCTTTTATCTTAGAATTATTCTTTTTATTTTAGAACTATTGAGTATGACCAAGGATTAGCACCATGGTTTGCAAACATTCTTCTGTTGGTGTTTCTGACACTGGAATCCAGAACCCTGGTCTTTTGCCTGGAGGACCTTCATCTCCCCTCACCACGCTAATCGCCTTTAGTGACAATATTTGGAGGATGACATTTTGGATTCTCATATTGATGACAATTCTAAAGATTGGAAATCTTCTATTCTACAGTTAAATACAGGTCATAGACCATTATGAAAGTAAAGTCATAGGAAAAGAAAGTTAAAAATGGAAGGCCATACCAGGTTATTATTTCATATGTGAAAAACTTTGATTCATTTGTTTTGTAGTCTGGTCTGAGTCCACCCCACTTACCCCATTTGGTCATTTGAAAAGGCCACTTGAGACAATGCCCATTTCATTATCAACCCAAGGTGAGCACTTCATTGGGTTGACATGCTTACAGGATTAGGGTCTCATTAGTTGTGGTTCACTGTACCCCTGGTAAGAAGTGGTTTCTGGTATTGGTATGTTTACTCAGGACACTCAACTTGTACCTTTCTCTGACTCTCCATCTCTCTGTTCTTCTCAGGACTACTGGCTCTCTCTCCTTTACAAGCGCCTGATTGGCCCCAAAGTCTTGGCTGTGCATGTGGCTGGGCTCCAACGGAAGCCACGGCCAGGCCGAGTGATCCGGGACAAACTAAGGATTTATGCTCACTGCACAAACCACCACAAGTAAGTCTTCAGGAAGATGTCACAGAAAGCCACTCACAAGGGGCTTCAGGCTTTGGGCCCCTCTTAAAATTCCATAACATTTGGGGACCCCTGTAAGACTTACTGTAAACTGCTTCTGGAATCGTTACTCCCGCTTTTTGCGGGTTTCATATGATCTCTGATAAAAAGCTTTTTTCCAAGTAAAACCATTTTCTCACTCTCAGAGGATTTATGCACAAAAAGTTCATAAAAATACATGCCATTTGTTCATTTACTTCTTCATCCAACAAATTTTTATTGAGCATTTTCTCTGTGTCAGTTGATGTAATGCCCATGAGGCGTTTTTTGTGTACCTATGCCTGAACCAAGGCTAGAGATATAAAATTTTTTCCCTCTGATCCACCGGCAGAGCTTGAGGAAATAAGTCTACATTTCTAAGGTGCATGCTTGAGAGCTGTACCACTAGGAAACTAGCCCTAGACCAGTGTGTCCCAAGCCAGAAGTGCCCAAAGGTAGTCATGCCATCTTTAGAACCATTTTCAGAATTTCAGAAATCTTTCCAGCTACTTTAAATGTTAAGAGGTTAATAAAATTTAGTCTTCCTTTTTTTACAGGGCTAGACTCAGAACAATCAGTGTGGGAATCCTTCTCTTTTTGATCTGAAGCACTGGTTGTCACTACAGTTGTCTGTAAACAAACAAAAAAATAGTTATCATTAGATAAATACATTTTTGCAGCTAAAATATTTTAAAACATGAAGATCATAAGGTAAAAATTGAAAACTGAGCCTAAGGCCAAACCCATCTGACCAAATATGGCTTTCTTACATCACTTCCTATGTAAGGAGCAGAGTAGGCAGCTTGGAAAAAGAGAACTCTTTCTCTTAATGCAGAGAAACCCTGGGGGTGGGGGAGAAGGAGGAGGAAGCAAGCACCTCCAGCCAGACCTTCATTCCAGTGGGCCTATCAGGCGCTGATCATGGGCAGTGGATAGCACAAAGAGCTCCAGTGGTCAGATTACAATAGACGCTCCTTCCCCTTCCTTGATGAGAGAAGAGCCAAGCCAATTAATTTATCATGATAAGGTTTTTCAAAGAATCACTCTGAACATAGCAGGGCCAGGGGCCAGTTGTCTTGTCTATAGATACAAGTGCCTATTGTGGATGAGAGGAGGCTGGTTTGGGCAGAGGCCAGAGGCTTTCAACGTCCCTTGTGCTCAACAGGAAGCTCAATCCAATACCTGACAGAGAGTGACTACTTTATGGCTTTGGCTGGAGTTATCTGATCACCACACAAGGAAACATTGTATTCCGTGTCTCCACCCTGGCCCTGAGGAAATCACTCAAAAGGCGGACCCCCAGCTTCAAGAGAGAAAAATTACCCTTGGCACCTTTTGTCTCTGTTGGGAAGAGCATCAATTGTGCCCTGTTTACAATGGGTCTGAGGAACCAGGGGGAAAATGTCAGTAGTCATGGGCTTAGCAGAATTTGTGTGTCCTCACAGAGGGCTCCTCACGTAGTCCCATCTCAGTGCTCAATTCTTTGACATTCTTGTGGGAAGTTATCACAAATATTCCAAATATACCGTGAACTCAGGGCCAGTGTCTCATTCATTGTTCTATTTATTCTTAGTGTCTAATATGGTGACTGGCATGAAGAAAATCTCAGTGAATGTTTGATGAATGAATGAATGAATGAATGCAGACATAGGGCATCAAGACATCACTGAGGATTTCCAGTTCTAGCCTCTCTTCCCCTTTGATATCAGCACAGCATCCTGAAGGAGGTGGTGTGGTAGAGTGGTTAATTATTCTACCATTCACTAGCATGAGACCTCAAATAAGTTACTAAAATCATATGGATCTAATACTCTCCCTACATCACCAGTGCACCTCTACTTTCTATGGGAACTCACTTCGAACCTCGCTGGGGAAACAGTGCTGCTATGCTGCTGTCAGTATCATCCCTCTTCTCCATTTAAAAAGAAAGACAAGACTTGACTAATCTATTGCACATATGGCCTTAACAGTAATAATAGGGGTGAAGACCTTTATGTTCCTATTAGAAAAGTAAGCCCACAATGGACGCACTGAGCTCACTGAAGTTGCAGGTCTCTTCCATGTCTGTGAATGTTCAATGCCCCAGACAGGTAAGCACAGGGATAGGACAAGTGTCTCTGCTCCTTCTCCCTGGGAAGCCATGTGCCCTGTATGTGCCCTCTCATCTTCCACAACAGTCATGAGGAAACACTACTGATTCACTTAGTTTATTCATAGCCAATGAGGTCAAGGTCACAGAGTGGGCATGTTGGCTTCCCACTATTCAATCTTGACCAGTACTCTGAAAATATATATCCTTGGCCAAAACAGGGATTGGGTGAGAAAGTATAATAAACTTATCAGCAGAACGACCCAAAGAGAGTGTCTATTCAAACAACTCCTACACTCCAGTGTATATTGAACACTTGCCACATGCCAGGCATCTTGCCAGATATTTGTACTATACACAACTAACAACACTAATAATACAAACAATTTTACATTTGGGAAGAACCCTTAGAGATCTTTTGGTCTGGTGTCCTATACAACAGAAATTCCTTTTACAGCCTCCTTGATGGACAGTTATGCAACCTCTAATTGAATACCTCCTTGCCCTTCCTGGCAGACTTTTGCATTGTGGTTTGGTTTTGACCTAGGAGAGTGTTGTGTTTTAGGCTGGATTTAGGATAAAAAGTTAGGTATGCATACCAACACGAGCAGGTGCTTTCCTGCCTTCTTTCCTAGAATTAACAGATGAGGAGCCTGGCAGCGTGGCAGTTCTCGCCTTAGGTCTTCTTGTTCAGAGAACAAATAAGTTTTGACTGGGAAACCTTGTTTTTATAAACCATTCTGTTGAAACAATGTATGTTTCTGGGGAGGAGTTGAGGTCCTTAGCCAAGTTCAGAACCAATTGGAACCTGGTGGATATTGAAGCAAAATTGAGCCTTTTGGGGTTCAAGTTTGTTTATTATTGGCAAAACACGACTTCCTGTTTTTTAGAAGAATTTTTTTAAAGACTCATAAAAAAGGTTCCTGAGGCTTCTTGGACATCAAATAGCTCTTACAAAACAATATTTTGATGAGTTAAGTGTAAATGAATCAGAAACATGTGGATTAAATTTCCCTTAAAATACACAGGGGCTTTGAAATTAGGGGAAAAAATGTTTGGCAAAACATGGCCTGACTTTTACCGAACCCAAAAACTTTGAGTTAGATTTGGAGACAATGGACCAACCCAGTTTTCAAACACATGGACTTTCACTGGAAATGGACCATGGATTCCAAAGCACCGTCTTCTCTTCCCTTTCCTCTGTCTCTCAGCTTCACTGGAGGCATTTCTAGAACAGTGACTGTTTTTTATCTGGATGTCAAGATGCACCTCTCCATATGATGTCCCCTACCTCTTATATCCAGGATACTCCACTTTGAGCCTCCCTTCCCTGACTCACTTCCTCCTACCCCCATGGCATCACAGAGAAGATGTCAGGCAGCAAAAGAACAGCCAAAAAGATGTACTCCAGATGCATGGATTGTCTGCTGGTGAAAAAGTCTCACCACAGTGAGACTTGGAGTAAGATAGATGTTCCACCAGAAAGAAAGGGACATTTGCTAAGAGAACCAAAAGCCACCTGGACTTGACATCAGAAGACGATCAACTGCCTGTCAGCCATGCTTTCTGTCAGACCCCATCTTCTTAGGGAACAGATACTCCTCCAAGCTTACTTTTCTGTGGGCAGAGAATACATATTCTTCAGGAATCTGTATTCTTGACACAGTACTCTCAGGTTGGTGCTGCAGTCTCCACCCAAGAATGTGGCTTTGCAGCCAGAAGACCTCTGCCTAATGCCTTTGCCCATCAGCCAGGCAGAAAAAGGGACAGCTGAGGTAGTCTTCAATGCCAGTTCCCACCTGCGGAGGCTCTGTGCATTCTGTGAGAGCCTCTGCACATTGGTCTGTGAGCTGGCTTTCAGTACAGGTTTGTCTCCCCCAGGGGAACTATGTAAATGGAAATCAGACCATTGCCAAGCAGCTTGAAGAGACAGCTTTCTCTGCAGCTATGCTGTGATTTCAGGTCTCCCTCCCACCCACCACTTCCCCACATCCCACCCTTCTCCTCTGCAGTCTCCCAGGGCTCATTCTGCCCCAGCTCTGCAGAGGAGAAACTTATAAATGCAAGCACACAGCTTTCCCTCCTCCACTGCTAGCCTTTGAGAAAGTTATCTGCTGGTAGTTAGCAAAAGAGCTTACCACAGCCTGGCAAAATTGGTACCCATCCATGCCTACTTTTGCTCACACTCTGAAGCCCAGAGTGCCTGTAATTAATGGTGTTTGCCTCAGTTTCCTCAGCTAAGCTAAACCTAAAGCCCACCCACCAATGGAATATAGTTGGTGTTCTTTTAACGATGGTAACGCTGACACAGGCTAGCAGCATCTCTCTTCTGAGCTCTAGTGACACAAGTTTGCTCAGTAAATGGGCATTCTCTTCTGACCTACTCAGTTGGCTCTAAAAGTTACTTCACATGATTCAGAATATTGAGAAGAAGGACCAGAGGAGGAGGAGCCAGAAAGAAGTCATTTAACAATCTATCAGAATATCAGTGCAGGCATCCAGAAAGCCTTGAACACAATAATGTGCCCTCCTACAGACGCAAGAAGAACCATCTGACACACAGTCAGTGGAATATACTTTGGGAATTATTCTCACAAATAAACTTAATGGATTACTCTAAGCATGTGGTTTCCAAACCCAACTCATCTGCCAAATATCCTAAATATATATGTATATATCCTAGCCCCCATCACAAATGGATGGAATCAACATCTCCAGGATGAGCCCTGGTAACTGTATTATTAAAAAACAAAACAAAACAAAAGCAACCCAAGTTATCATGTTGACCTGCCCTTAGTCACTCAACTCTTCATTAGCACCTTTAGAAGCAAAGGTGAGTGACCCAGAGGCTAAGGGATGCTGTTTCTGCAAGGAATGATATTTTCCTCTGGGCAAAGTTGACTTAGAGTTTCTCTGAAATCCTCCTTTGAAGGCAGGACTGGGTCATTTCTTCTGCTTCCTCTCATTAACCCATCCAGATGGGGCCCTAGGGGACCCCTTAGAAACAAAGTCTTTTTTCCTACAAGAAAGAAGGAAATCATTATAGTTTTGTTGATACATGCTGGAAGGCTCTTGCATGTAGGCACACAGTTCTTCCAGGCTTCTGAACATCCTGTGCTGGTTTAAAAGGATTCCAAAATGTGAGTAGTTTTATAATCTTGGTCTAGGTAAAACAGCAAAAGCAGAAATCAAAAAGATCGATAAATTTGACTACCTAACAGTTTTTAACCTTTTTTTTTTTTTTTTTTCTGAGAACTAGCACATACAAGTGCGGGAGGGTCAGAGGGAGAGAGAGAGAGATGATCCTAAACAGGCTCCATGCTCAGTGCGGACCCTGACGCAGGGCTCCATCCCGACCCTGGGATCATGACCTGAGCTGAAATCAAGAATAGGATACTTAACTGGGGCGCCTGGGTGGCGCAGTCGGTTAAGCGTCCGACTTCAGCCAGGTCACGATCTCGCGGTCCATGAGTTCGAGCCCCGAGTCAGGCTCTGGGCTGATGGCTCGGAGCCTGGAGCCTGTTTCCGATTCTGTGTCTCCCTCTCTCTCTGCCCCTCCCCCGTTCATGCTCTGTCTCTCTCTGTCCCAAAAATAAATAGAAAACGTTGAAAAAAAATTTTTTTAAATAAAAAAAGAATAGAATACTTAACTGACTGAGCCACCCATGTGCCCCAAGTTTTTAACTTCTATACATCAAAATAAAATATAAACAAACTGAATTGGCCAAAGAAACCTGGGGAAAATTTTGCAACATACATGCAGACAAAGGATCACCATCTTTAGTAAATAGTTTTTATAAATCAATAGAAAATGGGCAAAGGACATGAATAGTCAGTTCACACGAGAGATGAAATGGCATGCAGGCAAATGAAAATAATACTGCACCTCTGCACGAATGTTTTAAAAATACAAATTAATACAACATTGAAATCCCACTATCACCTCTCAGGTTGCGAAATGTGTTTTCTTTTCTTTTCTTTTCTTTTATTATTTTATTTTATTTTATTTTATTTTATTTTATTTTATTTTATTTTATTTTATTTTATTTTTAATGTTCATTCACTTTGGGGGGTAGAGGGAGCAGAGAGAGAGAGGGAGACAGAATCCAAAGCAGACTCCAGGCTCTGAGCTGTCAGCAGAGCCCAATGTAGGGCTCAAACTCACAACTGTGAGATCATGACCTGAGCCGAAGTCGGACACTTAACCGACTGAGCCACCCAGACGCCCGAGAAAGGTATTTTAAAATGTTAATATCCATTATTCTTAAGGGTATGAGGAAATGGGTGCACTTATAGATAGCTGCACAGAGCAAATTAGTATAAGCTTTCTAGAGAATTAACATCAATATTAGCAAAATGTGTGTATCAATCAGGATGAGTGAGGTGATGCTATGATAATGGAGGACACACAAATCTCCACGGCTTTCCATAAGGAAGTGTATTTCTCATTCATGCTACTTGTCTGCCATGGCTCAGCTGTAGCTCTGCTCCATATTCTCCTCATTCCAGGATGCAGGTCAATAGAGTCACCTCTGTCATGAACATCAATGGTCTTGTGACACAGCAAAAACACAGGCTGCCTCTTAAAGCTTATGCCCAAAGATTTTAACAGCACATTTTATTGGCCAGAGCCAATTGTGTAATCTCTAGGGTTCAACAGAGCAGGGACAAAAAATCTTCCCACAGGGAGGGGCATCACTGGAAATGAAGCAGAGATTTGGTTAAGAACCATGCAATGTGCATTCCCCTTGACCTAACGTGCCCAACTTCCGAAATAATGGTGATATGCAAAAGTTTATATAATGGAATATGTAATTTGAAATGGCAAAAATTTGAAAACAATGTAAGTCCCCAAATGTAGGGGGTTAACTAAACAAATTATGTTACATTACTATGATTGAAGAATTTAGCATTCTTCTATAAGTATAGAAGGAAATACAATAACATAATAACATGGGAATATGTTTAAGATGTTCACAAAGTGAAGAAACAATATGGTCCCAATTAAATGAAAACTGAGAAATGTATATGTATGTGTGAAAGTACTCTGTAAATATTTGAATTAATATTGAATTAATAAAACAAAAAATACTGGAAGGATGTTTACCAAAATTTTATCATATCTCAAGATATTTGGATTATAGGATAATTTTCTTTTTCGTCTTTGTATGTCTTTGTATTTTTCCCCTTTTTTCTGCAATCGGCATGTTTTATTTTCATATTCAGAAAAAAGATATTTTGTTTTCTAAAATAATTTTAATACATTTAAACAAAAACAAAAAGAGTTTGGTGGGAAGCAGGTATCTTCTTTGCAGGAAGCCACAATAACAAGGCCTTCCTGTCTTTGAAGGTGTAGGTGACCAAGAACTATAAAATAAGTGCCCTTTCCTGAGGCAGTCCTGTTTGGTGCAGTCTATAAATTATTTAGCAGTAACTAACTGACAACTTTATTTCCATCTTTCCCTTCTCTCTCTCTCTCTCTCTCTCTCTCCCTCTCTCCCTCTCTCTCTCTCTCCTTCTCAGCCACAACTATGTTCGAGGGTCCATTACACTTTTTATCATCAACCTGCACCGATCAAGAAAGAAAATCAAACTGGCCGGGACCCTCAGGGACAAGCTCGTGCACCAGTATCTACTGCAGCCCTATGGACAGGAGGGCCTGAAGTCCAAGTACGTGCAAACCTGGAAATAGCTTCAGAACAAGTGCAGCAGGAGCTGGGAGGGGAAGGAGCTAGAATTGCCCCTTTGGTGTTGCTAATTCATTTGGGGGCTCAGTGGAATGGAGTCAGGGGACTGCTGACTCAAACCCCTCCCTGTCTCTAGGCTTAGATTCCTCAACCGTGGAGTCAAATGGTAGACACAATATTTCTCAACAAGGGCATTTTTGGTATCTGGGCAAGACAATTCATTATGAAGGATAATCTCATTTCAAGCTACTTATTAGCATCCTTGGTCCCTGCCCACTAAATGCCAATAGCATCCCCTAGTCATGTGACAACCAAAAACTCTGGTAGTTGAAAACCATGCCCCTTTCATCTGTAACATTCTGTAATGCTATAACTCCTTATTTGTCAGCATCTACAAACCTCATGGCATTAGAAGGAGGAGCACTGGACAAAGGGTTGAAAGTTCAGAGTTCAAGAGTCTGTTCTGCCCCTAAATGTATAACTTTAGATCCATCACCTCTTGTATCTCAGTTTCCTTATTTCAATGTTTGAAGAGAAATTATATTTTGAGGGCTCTGTGGTCCCTTCAAACTCTATGAATATATGATTCTGTGATACTCCCTACCTCCCTCCATCTCTGCCAGAGACTATTGACAACACTGACCTCTGCCAAGAGAAAACAGCTCTAGGCCACAGTGAGAAGAGCCTGGTCACAGGCAAGGCCACTTCAGCTCCCCGAGTAAGGCCTCCCAGGCAGGGTATGGGATGCTGTACAGACTGGGAGCATTCCTATTGCATTTTTAATGTTTACCAAGTTTAACAAAGCTGTAAACTTGGAGCAGGTGGCTTGCACTCCCACAGCTGCCCACAACTATTTGCGCTATAATTGTTCGCTGTTTCACTGCAACCTTGGTGGCTTGCATTTGGCTTCCAACTGTATGTGCAATGGGAACAAAACACAATCTGGGAAGTCACTTATTGAGTCTCTTCAGGCCACCCTAGATCTGTATTTTCAGTCTTGGTTCACATACTGGCTCTTTTCTTTGGCAACATGTACATTGCATCTACTTTTTTTTCCTCTCAATCCTACCTGTATTAGGAGATTCTCTTGAGTATTTTATCCACTCTCTTTCTATTTCCCAGTAGTTCATGACCAGTGTGCTGAATTCCTGGTCTTCATCTCAGGCAGGAGAACCAGTTCTGGTCCCAGCTTCACTAAATAATTATTGACCTGGGCAGATCCTCTAATCCTAATCCCTTGGCCTCAGTGTTCTAATCTGCAAAATTCAAGTGTTGCTGTATATTTGATAGGGTCCCTTCCAGCTCACAAATTCTCACCCTGGGTCTGATTTTCTGAGGACCATGAATATGTTCAAGTCTCCCACTGCCACTCACTAATGACCTGCAAAGTTATTTCTGGCAGAAGGGCTGACACCTCAGCAGTGATTGTGATATCCAGGGTCCAGTGGAGCCAGTGAGACTAGGAACTGAGCCTGCCCAGCGTTGGAAAGTCATGTGTACTGCGTGGAAGGAACTGGCCAAATGCTTTAGTCCAACAGGCCATTTGCTGGCTGTGTGTCCTTGCACAAATTACATAATCTGCAAGTCTCAGTTTCTTCATCTCATGTGGAGAGGAGTAAATAAAGTAATCTATGTAAAGTTTCTGACACATAATAAGTGTGCAGTAATTGCCCATTGTGTTCCTTTTCCTCAACTCAGGACTCTAGTTCGTTGGGGAGGAAGAGGGAAAAAAATTGCTCTCTTTCTGACATCTCTAAGATGCTCTTCCAAAGCAGAGTCTTCTCAGTTTTTTAAGATAATATGTTGCTAAAACACTTGTTAAGATTATGATAAGAATGGTACAGATGGAGGGGCGCCTGGGTGGCGCAGTCGGTTAAGCGTCCGACTTCAGCCAGGTCACGATCTCGCGGTCCGTGAGTTCGAGCCCCGCATCGGGCTCTGGGCTGATGGCTCGGAGCCTGGAGCCTGTTTCCGATTCTGTGTCTCCCTCTCTCTCTGCCCCTCCCCCATTCATGCTCTGTCTCTCTCTGTCCCAAAAATAAATAAACGTTGAAAAAAAAAATTAAAAAAAAAAAAAAAGAATGGTACAGATGGAAATCCATGAAACAGGAGGAGATGGTAGTCAGAGGGTAGGATCAATTTATGAGCTTGTTCCCCCACCAACCGAGGGCACAAGCCTCCAACCCTGTTTACCCCACCCTAAGTCCCTACCTCCAGGATTATGAACCTGGCCACACCTTGGCCCTTCTGCCAAGTGATTGAAGCAACTCCCACTGGCTACTGATATCACATACATTCCAGTTATGCCGTCTTGTACCCCACCTTGTCACCACCTTGATGAGTTGTGTTACAGCTTTGTTGAGAATGTCTGAGGAATAGAGAAAAAGAGAATTTCATTCCACAGGAGTCCTGAAGAGGGATTTGGTAACGCCCACTGAGATCAAATAACAATGCCATGCAATTGAAAGAAGAGGGAACTGGACTCAGAAGGCCTGGATATGAATCCAGTTGCTACCATTTAACTGGGCAAACCTCGGCTCCCTTACCTGTCAGATGGGGGTTATTGTGAGAATCAAATTAGAGCATGTGGGTGAAATGAAACCTTCTACAAATGAAAATTTCACACACCCATGCACATGCATATGTATATAGGCATAAATACATGCACACATGATTTTACATATATCATGTTAAAGAGAGTTTTGGACTGGGAGTTAAGAGAACTGGATTCCAGACCTAATCCTGCCACTACTTCCCGGTGAAAATTTGAGCCCTTCACTTAATGCTCTAAGCCTGTTTCTCTCCTGTAAACTACTGCTAATTTGGCACCTCTCCCATTCTAGACCTCAGTGGCTCTGACCCTGTGCCGTGCCATCCTGAACTGTTAGCTGCCAGTAGGGGCTACCAGGTGCACATTCAGTGCCCCCAGTGCTCTGCTCCATAACTACAAATAAGTGCAAGAGCCTTCAGTGGTTCTGAGATAGGGGTCTCACAGGAAGGGTGTGGTTTTGGTGAAGCATACTCTGCAGGAGAGGATGAAAGGAAATGCAAGGAAGTGATTTCAGCCTTTGGTGTCTCCTTCTCTGTTTTATAAGCCTCTAGGGCCAGATTCTGTGTTCTGTGTCTGCTAATTCCTTGTTGCAGCCTGGAGCCATATTAGCTCAGAAGAGGATGGAAGGCTCTGGGAGCAGAGGAACCTGTGATTGCTCTTGTCTGGAGGAACCAGAAAGAGGATATGGAGCAAGTCAGTGTGCCATATAAGCCAGTTAGACTTTTTGGCCTGGGGTTTCAGGAGTAGAGAAATGCCAGCAAACTTTTATGATTGGTTGAAAACATGGGGTTATTCTCATTCTCTTGGAGCTGCCATCAGGACTGGGTATATTTGAAATCTCTGAAAAGATATTTCCACATGATCTTGGGGGTCAAGTACTGTCAGGTACTGGAAGCACCCTTAGGGCCACAATCAGGCATAGTCTAGGCATCCAAGTCCATAAATGAGGGTTCCTGTTTCTCATTTCAGTGAGTAAACCAATCATAGGACCTGCTACTCAAAGTCTTTAGGTGAGAGATAGTCTAAAGTCTTTAGGTGAGAGATAGTTCTCATTCTCAGAATCAGACAAAAGGTGGGTGCCCTCTACCCCATAGGATAGGAGAAGGGAAACTTAGAAAACTGAAGTGTGTACAAGAGAAGGGTATTCTGTGCCTGGAATACATATACTTTAAAGATGGCTGAAGGAAATAGGGAGATTTAATTCAGAGAAGAAAAATAAGGTAAGTCATGAGGACTTTCTTCAGATATTTCAGGGATTAAGTGAAAGAAAACAGATTTAGCCTAGAATCTTCTAAAATGACAGCAAACCAGGAGTACAATTTAAAAGAGAAAGATTTCACCACAAAAAGAGCTCATTTTCCAAAGGCTTGCCTGGTCTGACTGAGGACAGGGCTTCTTAGGAGGTAGCCTGTTACTCAGAGAGTGAGCAGCCATGGCCATCTCAGAGGTGCTCCAAGATTCTCACTCAGTGGGAGGTTGAGCTAAAAGAGTTCTGCTTCCCATTGAACTCTAAAATTCAATTATTCTCTTCCATTCTCCTTCCCCCACTCCCACTTCACTTTTGGAGCCTGTTGTCTCCATGGTCACCAGCCAAGTAGCTTCCTCAGGCCACTAAAAGGCCACACAAAGAGCCTGTGCTATAAGAGGGAGTGGCAGTAATATTTTCTCCAGAAAACCTCCAACTGCAAGTCCATCCTCTGTCCTGTTCCCTGGTTTCTCACCTTTCTGAGAGAAAGACTGACCATTTACACCCAAAACAATATTAGTTCCCATTCTGGATAAGTCAGAGAGCACCTTTGGGGCATCTCTGTCATCCACAAAGGAGAGAATCTGCCCAGTGCCCCATGTGCACACAAAGCAGTAAACATTGTCCTCTAGAGAATTATTTCTACCCAAGACATAAATATCGCTAATGTCTTTCAACAAACAGGGAAGCAACATGAAATTGGGCCAAAGAAGTCAACTTATATCAAAAAGCAGGACTCATGTTTTTAGGGAAAAGTCAAACCAAGAACAGGTGTTTGGTCACATCCCAGTGCCCTGCCCTATGTATCTTGTTCAATTCCAATTTGAAGGGGAAACTATCCAAAAATTAGAAAAGAAAGAAGCAACTTTCATCACATTGAGTATTGTATTCTAACACAGAAACCTAAGGGAATCAGTAGATGTAAAGAATCTTGGGAAGAATGACATTTTGAAGTGATCTGGTTCATTCTCCATACCCTTAGATAGATAGTCTGTGGCAAAGCCAACTAGACTAGACGATGCTCTAGGTTTGAAGACCTCTGGGGAAGGAGTGCCCACAATTTCAGTCCTGTCTGAACACTTAATTTTGTAAGAACACTGTGGCCTACTGTAGCTTGGACTTTATAGATAAAAATAAATGGTTTTAATAGCCATTATGTCATTGGACATTCTGAAGAGCCCCATGA